GGTCCAGACCTGCTAATCAGAATCTATGTCTTAACAAGATCCTCAGGGATTTGTATGAACTTTAAAGTTTGAGATGTATTCTTTTATATTCCAATTCTGAAATAAAACAATATATCCATGCTACACATTTAGATTGGGACATTTTCTTTTAAATAATAATAAACAGATAATAAATATAATGATGCTAACTATGTTAACAGGCACTATGCTAATAGCTCTTTTCGGAATATGTGTTTTAATCTTTGCAACAACCCTTTAGGGGAGGAAAATAAAAGTGAGGCTTAAAGAGTTTAAAAAGCTCACTGGAGCCAGGATAGCGATGTAAGTTTTGGTGCCCAGGCTGGTCCTGAGGTGGCATTTTCTTGGAGCTGCGTATCCAGGATCCTGTCCTGTGGACACTGTTCATCTTCAGCTGTCATGCTGAAAATTCGGGCCAGATGGGCTGGGGTGAGGCCATCGTCTCTTGGCTGAAAGGTAAGGTCACCTGGTTGGGGGTGAAGGCTCCTGAATAATGTGCAGGATCCCAAACTAAGGTCACTAACTGCCCATCTTATTTAGAAACCTCTAGGCCTCAGTTTTCCTGTCTTTCAGGTGACTGTTTGGGACTAGATGATTGAGAAACCCTACCTCTAGGCCTCAGTTTTCCTGTCTTTCAGGTGACTGGGACTAGATGATTGAGAAACCCCTTTTTAGTCTTACAATTTTATCACTAACAATCACGGTGTTTCATAGCTTACAGGTTCAACATGTAGGCTTAGGAATTAAGCTCATGTTCAAATTCTGTCTCTGCCACTAACTAGCTGTGTATGCTTGGGCAACTTACTTAACATGTCTCTATTTCTCTCTCTTTGTATTTCCATATTCAAAGAGTAAATTCTTATTTCATTGAGTGTAAGTGGCACATTTTAACATTTCTGAAACTGGGTGCATTTACATTTGATGGCGTCTAACAATTTAGTTGGCAGCATTGTTTTGTTCTTAGGAGTATATAAATTAATGGTACATCTTATAATTGATGGCCTTTTAGAGCCAAAGAAATATGGTAATAAAATACTACTTATAGAGTTGTGAGAATTAACTGAGATATGCATGTAACTACTAAATACATACTAAATTCTCAATAAAGGACAGTTGTCATCATCATCATCAGCAGCAGAAGCAGCATCTATTTTTTTTTTTCTGATAGAAGAGACACTGGTCTTATATTTATTGGTTTATGGCATCTTTTTAAACACCTTCTTTTTTCCTCCGGGACCCTCCTTGGTGACAATGTTGGAAACATGTTCCTCCTTGCCCTCCTCACTTTTTATAACATAGATGAGGTATTAGTCTACAAAATAATCTGGGCTTGGAAACTCTGAGTGATGCGTCCCTAAAACAAGAAGGAAGGGAAACATTTAGTTTCCTGTATAAGACATGAAGCATGAGGTGGTACTTGGTGGGAGGGGATTTGCCCTTGGGTAGGTGGCTCTGCACTATGTGTTCAAGGATTGCAAGCTTAGTTGTCTCTTCTTCTCCTTCAACTGGCCTTGGACCTGTAGGAAGTTTGGCTGAAGACAGGGAATGATACTGAACCTCAGCACTACAGAATCTGCTTGGTAGTCCTTTGGGTGAATTTGTCCTAAGTTAGAGGGTTTCTGTCAATTGGGGAGAAAAAAGTCTGCAGTTCTTTGGGAATCTCAGGAAATCTCAACTGCCCTGAGGAAGACTTCACGATGGAAAGATTTGGGCAGTGATCTGGTCTCAGAAAGGACTTTCTGCCTTTGGATAGTCTTCCTGGATTAAAAGTTGTAGGTATTTTTGAAGGTATCCATTCATTGATAACTATCCAAGTGCCCACCACATCAACTGGAAGGTGGGAGTGAGAAAAGAGATGAAAAAGCATGGTGTTTGAATTTAGAAAAATCTGGCTCAAATCCTGCTTGAGAAATTCTCTTATCCTCTCCAAATCTCAGCTCCCTCTCCTGTAAAAGGGGTAAAGATGGAGTCAGATTATACATATGAAGTCCTTAGCCCAGAGGTGGGTTGGCTGGCTGTATATCTATCTATCTATCTATCTATCTATCTATCTATCTATCTATCTATCTATCATCTTCTATCTATCATCTATTTATCTATCCTCTATCTACCTATCATCTATATATCTATCTACATCTGCTTATCTATCTACCTATCTTTTAATCTAATTTTGCAAATCTTTGGTATAGTTGAAGAAAAAGTTTTTTATTTTAAGTTTCAATAGAATTTTTATGATGCTCATAAAATTATACAATTATTTAATTAAGAATTGAGGCAAAACAGCAATAGTAGTATATCCATAGAGCTTGCTGGGTTCATAACATGTGATGACTTAAGTGGAAATATATTTAAAATAATAAATTTATGTGCAGGAGTCACAACTTTTCTTTCATAGAGTAGCAGCCTTTTACTTTTTTGAGATACTGTAATTAAACTGAATATTTAATTTTTAATAATGCCACCAGACAGAAAGCACAAGTCCACCAAAATGCCATCTGCCAAATCCTATAGCCTCTCTAAGCACAGCCTGAGCAAAGGGCTCCTAGCTGTCCACACTCCACCCAATTAGGGCATGTAACTCTAGCTGTGCCCTGCTACCTCCATACAGTTGGTTTTGAATACCCACCCATGTATTTGTGCTTAGATCTCTCTGAGGGAATTGAAAAAGGAGAGAGAGGGTAAGAAAAAAGATGAAAAGATCCGGAAAGAAGTCATTATGATTATGACTGAGGTTTGTTTTGCTTAGAAGCCGCAGACATACCAGGCTTCAAACCCATCTCGGCTTTGACCTTAACTTTTAGGCCCAGTTTTACTCAAGTCCTCCTTCCTAGTCCTTTCTCTCCATCAAAGCCAGTGTGATTGTCCTGGAGTGCCAATCACCAAGCCACCCTCTTGCTTAAAGAGCCTTTAATGGCTCTATCACCTTTGGATGTGAGATGTGTGGAATTTTTCCTTTGAAAAATCTATATGCCTTCAAAAGTTGGCATAGAGTCCAGGTTAAAAACTTTGGACCATGAGATATAATCTGAACTCTATTATTAGGGCATATCAAGGCTTTTGAGATCTTGCCTCCTGTCTACATTGCCATCATCAGCACCCTTTACTGCCATCATTTCATTTCATTGCAACCACATTGAATTACAGAGTAGTTAAGACTGTGGCCTCTGCCTGGACTCAGATTCTGTCTCTACCCTTATTCTACTAGAAGTGTGTTATTTGACCTCTCTGTATCTCGGTTTGCTCTTCTCTAAAATGGGAATAATAGTAGTATTCACCTCATAAGGGTTTTTGAAGATTAAATGAGTTTAACACATATAAAGTACTTAATAGTCATACCTGGTACATAACACACACTGAATAAGCATTCGCTATTTTTATTAGCTATATGGTTTTATGTATTTGCACATATTACTCTCTCTGTCTAGGTTGCCTCTCCACTTCCCAAACCCAGCTTGGGAATAATAGTAGTATTCACCTCATAAGGGTTTTTGAAGATTAAATGAGTTTAACACATATAAAGCACTTAATAGTCATACCTGGTACATAACACACACTGAATAAGCATTCGCTATTTTTATTAGCTATATGGTTTTATGTATTTGCACATATTACTCTCTCTGTCTAGGATGCCTCTCCACTTCCCAATCCCAGCTCCCTTTCACTGATTCTTTTTTTTTTAAAAATATTTTATTGATTTTTCACAGAGAGGAAGGGAGAGGGATAGAGAGTTAGAAACATTGATGAGATAGAAACATCGATCAGCTGCCTCCTGCACACCCCCAACTGGGGATGTGACCGCAACCAAGGTACATGCCCTGGACCGGAATCGAACCTGGGACCTTTCAGTCCGCAGGCCGATGCTCTATCCACTGAGCCAAACCGGTTAGGGCCCTTTCACTGATTCTAATTCATCTTTCAAGATGCAGTTCAATCCTTCCAACCTTGTGAAGATTTCCAAGGCGTCTGACAGTGACCTCTTATGCATAACACATTGGTGCAGCTGCATACTTAATTTGTAAGTGACACTAGGCACCCATTTGCACACAGTCTTCATAAGATTATCAGCTGTTCCCTATTGTTTACATAGTCCCTGGGTTGCACTACCACACCTGGCACATGGTGGGCCCCACTAAAAACTTGTTGAATGAATGACAGAGTGAATGAGTGAATGAATACCTTCCCTTCTCGGGAGAGAAAGGCACATGTGTCTTGAACATAGGTTCATGAGTCTTCAAACACTTATTGCCAGTCTGGTGCTTGGCATGTGCTCAAAAATGCTTTCTGAGTTGATCTGAAATATGTTCATCTTTGATTAAATGAAATAGGTTTAACTTCAATGAAACAATAATAATCTTTTGAGAATCCTTTAGACCTTAAAAACAAAAGTTAATACTATATTTTCACTTATTAGAGCTTTCCTTACAAAATGCTTACAAGTTTTTGGACTAAACAAGAAGAACACATCCAAAATCAGAGAATTTTCTAAGAGCTTTCCTCTCACGAAGCTTCCGCCCTGTGCTTGCGCCCTGCCTCACCACACAATACACAAAACAGCACAAACACAACCTCTCTCCATCTTGGCTGATAGACATTCATCAAAGAACACGAACTTCTCAGTAGGGTAGGAAACAGAAAAAAGAAATGAAAAACAAAAGGGAAGATTCGTTTGGTTCAGTAACTATTTTTAAAAAGCACACGAGGCCAAATCCCTGGAATCCGGAAACCAAGGATGAAAAGTTCTGTACAAACCAGAATTCTGTTCCTCCAAAGCTTATGCCTTCATGGAAATTCTACTCTATAAAGGTTAGCATCTAATGGGCATGAGGGGTATTTAGACAGCACAAATTAACTCCTTAAGTATCATTGCAACTCCACACCAGTCTTTGGGAGTACATACATTAAGGAGCCGTTAAAAAAAAAAAAAGAAACTAAATATAACTCAACAATCCTGATAGTTTATAATGCATATACAATTGGTTCACCTGCGTCCTTTTGATTCTCTATTTGAAAGAGAGAGCACAACGAGGAGAAAAGAGAGAGAGAAACAAGAACACATATGCAGGATTAATGAGCAAGTGGACCAAAATGCCCCCCACTTATGTGTGATATATGACATTGGAAGAAAAGGTCGCCCTTGGGTTCCCACCGCCCCGAAGTGTGGGGGCCAGCAAAAAAAGGCTCCTTCACAGAGGTGAAAAATGCTGCACAAATAGAAAATTAGTAAAATTAAGTTTAATGTGAAATCAAGCTATGAAACATACATGAACTTTCCAAGTGACAATTAAGTCATATGTTCTAGCCAAAGCTTAGAGGACAAGGACAAGTCAAAATCTCCAGAGAGAACAAGGAAAAGCTTTCCAGCTCGAGAGAAAAGAGACAGGAGGCATGTAAGATCTCATTTTTACAGAGAATGGACCACCTCATGTGATCTTATACCCACAATAGTTTGACATGTTAAACATGGAAAAGAAGGCATGATTTTGCCCCAGCTGTCCTTTATCTGACACCTAACATATTGCTCCCGGCCTAGATGCTATCTTTTTATTGTGTACCAGTGACAAGCACTTTACAAATTGGGGTTACACACAAGCAAAGTAAAAATGCATTCAGGTCACAGACAGAGAATAACTGAAAAACTTACGGACAAATCTGAGTTTATCACAAACAAATGGCTTAATTGTCTAACCTGTTTTAGGCTGATAAAAAGTGACTGGACTTCTCACACTGGATTTCACAGACAGAATCAACAGACAAGCCAATGCTAAACAACTTGAAGCAAGGAGAGTGAGTTGATTGGATCTGTATTTTCTTGAAATAATGAAAACAGAAAGAGTGAAGACAGCATGGCGAGGAGTGGTAGGTACTCACGAATGGTTAAATCCATCACTTGGGAGGCCAAGCAGAAGACAGGATGCTCATACATTTCTCTCTTTTTCCCTATAAAAGAGGATTTGGGCATGCAAGAGGCTTAGGTCAGAGGTAAAGAGGTTAAAGGTCATAGGTTAGAGGAAAACGTTACATTAGCTCAAAGGAAAATAGCCACAGAGTATTTTGGGATAAACACAGGATAAAGGAAAAAGGAGTTTCAAAATCGGAGATCTACTGGATTAACCATTCAGCATGCCGTGAGTCACGAGAGAGATTGTGACTATGATTTTACACGTCTCTTTAGAATTGTTTGCAAGAATACAATGACCAAAAACATCATGAGTAAAGGGAAACAGAATTTCATTGATTTAAGGCTCCAAGATACTAAGGATTTCAGACTTTAGTATCTAAGGCTCTTGAGGTATTTCTTCATAAACATAGTCTCCAGCAATATTACTACAACTGCTTTCCAAAATTCTCTGGAAACTAAGCTGTCAGTGCTCACAGAGGGGCTCAAATGTAAAAATGGACAGTTTCTTTTCTGAGTGTAGGATTGGAACCTTGTAAAAGAAAGTTGTCTGGTAGTAATATCTTTACAGCTGCAATGTCTCAGCCTATGGTGGACTATGTTCATGAAAGAAAACCTGATACATGCAGCCAGAGGATGTTGGGTTGTCTGAATTAACAATCCCAGCATGCTTTGAAATTGGCATCACAGCCACTTTTGCAGAGATAATGTCAAAAAGTGGCTGAGCCAATCGCGAACAAGGAAGGAGAGAAGCAAAGAGAGCAGGTAGTGTGGAATGAGGTACTTCTCTGAAAAGAGAGTTGGAAAAAAAAGATTGGTTTCTTCAAAGAATCCCCAGACCTAAAAGTCACGGTGCAAAAGATAATTAACACACCCAAGAAGAATTGAGGCACAAAAGGAAATTACAGACCAGCTGATCTACTTTGGAAATGAATGCATTTTTACTTACAGATCTTAAAGTTTGTTTTTGGATATATTTATCTGAAAGAAGAGAGCAGATCTTACCAAGACTAGTAATAGCTAGACCAAGACCTAGGAGGCAGCAGCCATGGCAACCGAACGTTTCTTGATTCCATCCCATCTCTGGCCTCACCTAGAATTATTAGGTGCCCGGTTGGCATGACCAAATACAACCAATCATTGTGTCCTGGGAAGGTAAATGCTGGAACAATTATTTTCTAATATAGCTCTTTTACCAATCTTCTTGTTCCTCTATTTTTGTCACTCATTACCAAGTCAAGAGTTGATAAACATCCTTTTAGTGCCCAATTCTTAAGTGTTTCTCCCTGGATGCATAACAATGAATTCATTACCACTGGTACACAATTTGCATTGTCAGACAGACAAAATTGAGAGAGGGAGACATGTAATGTACAGAACACTGTGAATTTGACATGATCTTCGCCTAATTCTCTAGGGAAATAAGGACTTTGGCAGGATAACTGATGGGTTTTGGTAGTTGGTTAGGTCTTTTTATTTTTCCCCCAGTCATGTCCTGAAGGCAAACAATGGGTATTTGCTGGCATTTCACATGTGAGAGAACATCAGATTCCAGAATGCGAACACATTGAGTTTTGCACACAGAACTTCCACATTTATACACTTACACCACTGGTCAAGTTGGGTGTGGTTTTCAAATCACCCTATAGCAGCCAACAGGGTAACAATGAAAAGTGATTAATAAACTGCAAATGAATAGGTCCCAAAGAACCATATCTTTTCAAGTAGAGTTTACTCAAGGTGACTTTGGGGTAATTACTTGGTCATCAGTGACTGCTTCCCTAAGACTTGAGAGGGCAGCAGTGACGGCCATCCTAGGTCTAATGTAGCAATAACAAATGAGATCAAAAGCAAACTAGGAGCCATCAGAGAGGGCTGGACATTAATTTGCCGTCAAGTTTGAAATGCTACCAAAGACAGCTCTTCGTAAGTTCAAGGGACAAGAAAGAGTTCAGCAAAATCTTGATGTTGCTTTATTCAATTGTTGCTTTACTTGCAATGCCATCAACAGCGGACAACAAACTGCTTTGTTTTCCTCTATTTAAAGCAGAGAGTAATCCCGCAGAACTCCTTCACTGGAAGACATCAGCCACTTAGGGCTGACACAGACTCTCAGAGGGACCTCAGTTATCGGATAACATCCCATGTTTAATATTCTTCCCTACAAAGACTGATTTCTGAGCCTCTGATCTTCCATTCATTTATTTGGCCACATCCAAGGAAGAGTTCACATTTTCATATTTTGAGTGCTTTCAAATTTCAGCTTAACATACTCAGATGGACCCCTGTTTCCTGGTGCCCATCAGAAAAGAGAGAGACTTCCCCAGGGAGGCATACGAAGTTTTAAATTAAAACCTGGGGGCAGAAGGGAGTCTTACCTTCGATTTTGGCATACTCTGATAGCCGGGAATAGTTGACTAAAGCAGCCTGCTCTAGACATTTACGGATGACTGTTTTTACCTCCTCTTGTGGCACTGGGGTAACGATGTCTTTCATCAAAACCTTAAGGTAGGGAAGGAAAGGTTATTCAGATGGTTCAATTAGCTGCATTACTCATTTATATTTCTTAGAGAGTTCAAATGCACAGTTAGAATGGCAAAGCCTGTCCATGAACCAGGGGAGGTCCAGGAACATATCTTCAATAGATCCAACTACTTGTTGTCTGGAGAGAAAACACCTAGATTTTAGGCAGTTTCTTCATGCTTACTTTGATATTTGATGAATGGTAAACAATACCTCAAAAATTACAGTCTAGGTTATTCAACCACAATATTCCATTACAATTTTGTTCCTGTTTCTATATATGTGGAATCTGTCTTTGACTTTCATTCTTACCCTTTCCAGGAGTGAGAGAGTAGCTTTCAAAGCACCTTCAGGTCGACCAAATGGAAAGCAGTACCTAAAAAAGAGAAAATTCTTCAGGTTGCCCGATTTATTACACTTTAGCATGAAGTATACTGAAATTTGATTCCTATAGACATTCTGTGAGGAACAGAAAGTGCTTTCTATTTTGTCACGTTGTGTTATGTTAATCTGAATTCACACCATCTATGTGTGTATATAATGTATATATGTGTATGTGTGAATGATGACTGAAGAGAGACTCCGCAAACGCCTGCAGCAGACAAGAATATTTAGGGTGATGACAAGGCTCTGTGTAGATTTCTATTGTGAAGAGAACCATTTGTTAGCTCAAAGGAGACCTTAAATATTATTATAGAGACCAGCATTATAAAAATATTAGTTGAAAGAGGGTAAGATTAATCCCTAAGGGATTCATATGGAAAATGAAGGAAGGTCTTTTAAACAAATTCATGGTTCTGCAAATTGTCCTTCTTTGCCTGTGGTTTTTAATTATTAATGGATTTTCCATTATTGGCAATGCATCTTGCATGTAGTGAATGATCAATAAAGATTTATCCAGGGGGGTCTGTGTTAGATATCACTAGGAATTCCACTGACTGTTTTAAGCTGTCACCAGCCCTTTGGGACACTGTTCCTTATGGTACAAAGGGACCAGCATGGGCTACTTACACTCAGTCTGGCCTGGGGCAAGTCTTGAACCTCTCTCAGCCTCAGTTTACTTGTTGTTTAAATGGGGACCACAATAACTTCCTTACAAAATTGTTCTGAGAATAAACAAATAATGAGATGCTTATCCAGCCCCTGTATCTGGAAGGGCCTGATAACAAGGACGTATTTATTATGCCATTATAAATGGGCTTCTTATTTTTGAGATACTGGTTCGGGCTTCGGGTCCGGAACCACAAGTGCAGCATTAGAAATGACGGATTTGTCCCAAGGAGAAGTGGGCCACATGGCACCAGGCTCAAGGCAGCCGCTCCTGCTGGCTCCAGGGTGTGGAGAAGAGCCAACCTGCAAGGCCCATCAGCTTTCCTTCCCTGAGGAGCAGCTCGCCCTGTCCCTGAGGGGAAGGTGGCTTCCCCTGTGGGTACCACTGCCTTCCTTCCCTGATCATATGATGTGGTTCACAAGGCCTTTCAGTGCTTTATTTAGGAAACCTGAAGAAGCTTCCCATACAACTATTTAATGGATTAAACAAAAACTAGGTTGATGACTAGGGTCAACTTGTACAAGGACGGGCTGTTCCTTTGGTGGAAATAACATGACCTTAAGATTTCAAAGTCTCTGAGCTATTGTGGAGCCCAGTCTGATCGGTTTGCTTTTTCATTCGGTTATTTCTAAATATCCAATGTGTATCTGATGGACTTACCATTTCAGTAAATCAAGCCCCCCCTAGTCTCCCCCTCCTAAGGAGCCCCTCTACCCCAGATCCTTACCTAAAATGTGTAATCTGATTTTCCAACAGAACTCGGAGTCTCTCTTTGATTTCTTCAAAACGTTCCTTTTCTTCCACAGTCACAGTTCCGATCCCATCGGGCCTGAAGGAAGACATGGCATGAAGTGACAGGAACCTCGTGTGCTGACACCATCCAATCAAACCTCCAGCAGGAGGAAACTGTCTCTTTCAGAAGAACAATGGCAATGACAGATGTAGCCTTAGGAGAAGTCCTGCTTCTCAGAGCTGGTTACTAAAGGGGGTGCGGTGTTTTGGGTTATCATTTGCAAAATTGTCGCTCATTTATTGTGAAATGGTAAAATGTACAAACTAGTGGCTTGGAGGTTCAACTTTTAGGTCTGTGTGTCTCATAGTTTCTTAAAATTTTTAACTATTTGCCAACATTTTTTAAATTAGGAAAGTTTTGTAATACAATTCTCTTGAAAATTTGGAACAACTAGCATTAGCAAAAAAACAAACAAACAAACAAACAAAAAACCCCAAACAATTTGATTAGAAATTGGGCAGACAACTTGAATAGATGTTTTTCCAAAGAAGACATACAAATGACTAACAGGTAGGTGAGAAAATGCTCAACATCATTAATCGTCAGGGAAATGCAAATCAGATTCACAATGAAATATCTTGCACCTGTGAGAGTGGCTATTATCAAAAGGTCAAGTATAACAAGTGTTGGTGAGACGATGGAGAAGAAGGAATGCCTGTGTACTGTTGATGGGAATGTCATTTGGTGCAGCGACTGTGGAAAACAGTATAGAGCAGTGGTTCTCAACCTTCCTAATGCCACGACCCTTTAATACAGTTCCTCATGTTGTGGTGACCCCCAATTTCATTGTTACAAATTGAACATAATTAAAGCATAGTGATTAATCACAAAAACAATATGTAATTATATATGTCTTTTCTGATGGTCTTAGGCGACCCCTGTGAAAGGGTCGTTTGACCCGCAAAGGGGTCGTGACCCACAGGTTGAGAACCACTGGTATAGAGGAACCTCAAAAAATTTAAAATAGAACTACCAAATGATCCAGCAATCCCACTTCTGGGTATATCTGAAGGAAAGGAAATCTTGAAAATGCATCTGCACCCCCATATTCATAGTAGCATTATTGACAATAGCCAGGATGCGGAAATAATCCAATTGCCCACTGACAGATAAATGGATATATATTTCACATCTATTTTCATATATATTTCATATCCATATAACATATTAAACATATAAAACATATGTATATAAAACAAAGGATAAAGGAAATGTAAGCTATTATGTGTGATGAAATATTCAGCCATAAAAAAATAAGAAAATCCTGCCATTTACAACAATATGAATGGACCTTGAGGGCATGATGCTAAGTGAAATGTCAGTCAGATAAAAACAAATATTGTATGTTCTCACATATGGAATCTAAAGAAGTCTAACTCATAGAAATAGAGAGTAGAATGGTAGTTGCTGGGGCCTGAGGGGTGGGGAAAATGAGGAGGTGTTGACCAAAGGGTAACACCCTATGTTTTTCCAAAGAAGACATACAAATGACTAACAGGTAGGTGAGAAAATGCTCAACATCATTAATCGTCAGGGAAATGCAAATCAGATTCACAATGAAATATCATCTTGCACCTGTGAGAGTGGCTATTATCAAAAGGTCAGCTAAAGCAGAGGCGAGAGGGCACAGGATGGGCTGAATGACCCCCCCCCCCCCCCCAGTGCACAAATTTTTGTGCACCGGGCCTCTAGTCTATAATACTAAAAGCATAATATGCAAATTGATCGAATGGCTGAACAGTGGAAAGACCATCCGGACGACCTTCCAGTCGACCTTCCGGGCAAAGCAGGGGCTGCAAGGGCCTACTCTTGCACAAATTTTGTGCATCGGGCCTCTAGTACTTATTATATACTTCAAAGTTGATAAGAGAATAGATACTAAATGTTCTCATCACACACAAAACAATGGTAATTATGTAAGGAAATGTAGGTGTTAACTAACCTTACTGTGATAATCATTTTACAATATATCTGTGTATCAAATCATAACATCGTACACCTTAAACCTACATATATTTGTCAATATCTTAATAAAGCTAAAAAAAACAACCAAACAAGCCACATACGATGTTTTTCAATCTTAGCAAACTATTGCTCATTTTAATACAACAGACCTTAGCACAAATAAGTGAATTTCAGTTTAATCACGGTATTCCCGTGTTTCTAAATTGGCATTAGGTCCACACACATTTTCCCTGTTTGCTTTGGACCATTTAAGTTGAAAATACAAGGGACGCTGCATATCTATAGCTCAAATTTATCTGTGCCAAATTAGACGAAGGGTAATCTGACCCATTCAAAGACTTCAGCTTCCCAAATTGGTAGTGACTTGTTTTGACTACTGCCTGAGTCAGTTTGCAGGCTGGTGCGTCACCATGAAACTTCTATTGGAACATTCCTCAGTTTGCAAATGCAAGTCATCTTGAGACCAAACAAATGGTCTTATTTATAGGCCTTCTCAAGGATCCAGCATAAGTTGGGAAAATCCTGTACACTAGACCAGTCTGACTACACAAAGACTTGGCAAATTATAGCAATGTACCTCCTGTTAGGGGTTGATCGGTCAGTTTTCTTCTTTGAAAATACTGAAAATGTCCCACTGGGAAAAAATGAGAACACCCCCCTCCCCCCCCCCATACACACACAAAACACTGCTAAATGGTAAAATCCTGTTATGATCCACTTTTTCATAAAAGTTCCCTTGAACTTAAGGGAAGAAAAAAGGCAAAATGGTAAATATTGGGTAGGCTGTGGTAACCTATGAATGTGCCCTTATTTTCAAAATTTCTGGAGAAATCTCAAAAAGTTTATTAAAAATCTGTAGTTAAATCTTGAATTCATTGGCCCCCATAAAATACATGTGACATTTTCTGTGGTAAAGTCTCATGTTTAATCTACAACTTCTTTTAGCTGTGGCTTTTGGAATTTGTTTACACAAAATTTGACTTACTAACACACCGAACACACGTTTATACAATTGGCATGTGTGTGCATATACTTGATTTGGAAAAAATAAGCCATTTTAAGATTTTTGTTTCTTAGCAGGGAATTAACCCAGAGAAAAATGCTATTAAATATAATTTACAAGTCACAGAGGGGTTTGGCATGGAACTATTTAACACTAGAGGGCCGGTGCACAAATTCGTGCACTGGTGGGGTCTAGCCAACCTGCCCCAATGGGGGCCATTGGTGGCGGGCTGGCTGGAGTGAGGGGTCGTGGGTAGGGCCAGCCGGGGTGAGGGGCCGCAGGTGTTCCTGTCATTACATTGTTCTGTCAATTTGCATGTTACCCTTTTATTATACAGAATGGGCAGCCCAGAGATGCCTGCTGCCATTATTAGGAGATAAACTTCTCGGAATAAAATCATTCATTCCTTAACTAACAAGTCTTCTATGGCTAACTTAGGCAATTAGGAGGGAACTTTTAGGTTTGCATCTGAGATGATAAAAACTAAACATTTTGTGTGTGCCTGGCCTTCTCAGTTAATTCTCACTATGAAGGGTATTATTACAATGTAAAATTTGATTATGATTTTCCCTTTTGTTCTGATGACTCACATTTGTAATGATTAAAGGTGTCAGCTAGCACCTCCCACTTCCCTGACAATCTCTCCTTTCTGAACTGTTATCTCACTATTCAGAAAAAGTAAACAACTAAAATTTATTGTTGTAATCTATTCTTAAATTTGCTTCTTAATTGCCTATGTTTGTATGAATACTTTTATTTTAAAATAAATGAAACTAACTCAACATCTGTAAGGCATATAGTGCAGACACACACACACACACCCTAAAACCAAAAACCCAGGTGATAAAAAAAATCAGGATTTTGACAATGAATGCAAATTTGTTTGCAATTGCCAGAACTGCTCTGAAATGGTAGTGGTAACAGGATGTTATTTTATAAAAGGAAGAGACACGAGGGAATGATAGAATTTGTTAAAGATCACAGGTTGTAACCATGTCAGTTAAAGAGCAAAAATATCCTTTTTTTAAACATAATTATTTTTGAACATTCTATCAAACATCAACTTATTTTTCATGGACCCTTAGATTGCCTATGTTAATTGTACAGGTTTAGAAAGATTTCTACAGAGCTATTAATTGAAAAGTCCTGTTCAATATTTTGGGGAGCACTTCTCACAGAAGCAATGAAACCCCTTCCCTAGGGCAGTGCCTCAGAATGACCTGGACGGCTTTGCCCTGACCGCATGGCTGGGCCCCACCCAAGAGTTTCTGGTTCCGTAAATGTGGGGTGGGGTCTGAGAATGCATTTCTAACAAGTTCTCTGGCCACGCTGGTTTGGAACCCACACTGAGAACCTCTGCCCTAGAGCAGGGAAATATTTTTTTGCTGGCTCTTCCTGTAGCTGAAAGGATATTTCTGATCCAGAGTTCCCAATTTCCCTCGGATTGGAGTGAATTAAATACGAGATGAAGATTTAAAAAACACACACAAATAAATATAGCATTTAAATATCTAAAAAGTAAATAAAAATCAAAATAAAATCAGAGGTGTCCTCCAAGTGCCTGGTGCCTTGGGGACGCTAGCAATCCCTTCCAAAAGTGCCGTTTGCACTATTTCCAAGGCCATTCCAAGCCGTGCTGACCGAGAAGTAAACAGAAGAACTTATCAGTCTCGGAAGCCACGCTGATGTTGTTGTTTTCTGGAAACATTTGGGGGTGAGTCTACAATTGCCATAAAACTGGTTTCTTTCTCAATACTTTTAACACTTAGGGTGTCACAAAGAATGGGAGAGGAGAGATGGAGCTGGGTCTTAAACTCTTAGCGAGTAAATCCCAGCTAAGATGTGTCTACTCAGAGCACATGTCCAGGCCTGAATACCCCAAGTCCTCTCACGTCCTGGCTGGTGCGTTTTTTGCCTCTTATTTTTGTAGCTTACCGTCCACTACTATTTCCTAAAAGCACCTGAATTTCCTCTGGAGGAATGACCTTGGCAGCACTGTGAGGACCTTGGGGAAGGTACACTGAGCTGCCTATTTGCCAGCTGTTGATGCTGAAGACCTTCCCATGGG